GGGTATGAGTCAGCCAGGGTAACTCTAGGTCAGGGCTGAGGGCTCTGTGGGTCAATTCCCTGATACCTCCTCCTGCTATATAAGCTTGAAAAGTTTCTAGAAGGAAGTGGGTGGGGGTGAGGAAGGGTTGATCTTCATACTTGAGGGACTCTGACCAATCCCCATGCAGGAGGATTGGCATGGGGTCAGAGCAGTCCCTAAATATGGATGAGCCTGGTCAGCAGCAGGAGAGTTCAGGTGAAAGATGGAGTGAGAGGCTGGGATGCAGGAACCTGGGAAGGGGGCCAGTGGGAAGGGGCCTACCTACATGCTGGATCTGGAAATGAGGATCGCTTAAAGTTACCAGTCCCCAGAGAGAGGATCACCTATAGAGCCAGGAAAGGAGCCAGCCCAGCAGAAGACCTGAAGGCAGCCACCAACCCAACACACTCACAGGAGAGAGTAAGTAACCCTACACCCCCTGGGCTGGATAAGGGGAGAGGGCATTCTGATGGGAAACCTGACTAGCCCCCATCTGGCACTGTGCATTTGAAAGATTATGGGACCCCTTGCCCAGGGATTCACTTAGTACAACTGGATGAGAAGAGGATTCATCAGGGGAATGAGGGGGTACACCTGGAGGGCTGGACAGCTCTTACAACAAATAGACTTTGCTGTTTAATAGACTTGCACATAGTTGGTAGGAAGTTGTCTTCAGTTATAGTTCCCTTGGGCATCCCATACACCACTCAACCCCGTCCAAGTTCAATACCCCTTAATAAAACCAAAAAACAAGCTCACGGACTGTTTACTGTCTCCTGTGTGTAAGGTCTGAAGGAAAATGTGTGTTGCCTGACTGTGCAGAACTATAGGGGGACCAAAACCTAATCGGCCCCTAAGGGAGTTGTGCTACAAGTAACTCTGTATTCCTCGAGTTGAACTCCACCAAAAGACTAAGAGTCTAGGAATGAATTTTTCTTTCATCCACCTCCTGTTTTCTGGATATTTTCTCCAGTAGTAGCTCTGTGCTCCTGGTGTTGAACCCCACCAAAAGACTAAGAGCCTAGTAATACATTTTTGAAGATGCTATCTTCTCTTTCATCCATCTCCAGTTTTCTGGATATTTTCTCCAGTAGTAGCTCTGTGCTCCTGTAGTTGAACCCCACCAAAAGACTAGCAGCCTAGAGATGAATTTTTGGAGATTTTGATTTCTAATTCATCCACCTCAAGTGGAACGTTTTTCCAGTAGTAGCTATGTACTCCTCAAGTTGAACCTCACTAAAAGAGTAGGAGCTGACATGTTTGAGTTTGGGGTTTACTGTCAGTAGGAGAGGTTGTAGTGGCCTAAAGATGGAGTTTGGGATTTACCACCTTATTTTCAGCACTAAAATGACGTAAAGTGCAGATCTGCTTCACAAGGTGACCATGCCTAACTTGAGTCGATAGCCTCGGCTTTAGCGTGGCTAAAAAGCTCCACAGTAGTAGAATTAAAAAATTTTCATTAAGTTCACAAAGTACAAGAGAAAATGTAACAGAGTAGAAAAGAGAGAAGAAAAATGGGGGGGAGGGGAGCAGGAGGTCCAATGATAGCCACAGCAGGTCAGCTGTTGTTCAAAGAATCCACGTAATGTAGACATGAATTTGGATCAGGGTTCCAACAAAGACTGGTCGCAGTCACATGGCATGGAAATTTCAACCCAAGGCTGCCACATTGTGAGATGTTTAGGGACATGATCTTGCAATGTGGCTTCTATTTTGCTATTGATCATAGATTGCGTTCCCCTGTGCTTCACCTCAAGGAGACAAAGGTTGGGGGGTCTTCCATGCCGTGGCTATAGTTTGTTTGGATGTGGTGATAATATACAGCAATAGTTTAAACTGTTATATCAGGCGGTTACTTACGAAGAAGCTCTACAGCAGGGTCATGGATTTACCACCTTCTCATCCAACCACCTCATGTTCTGAAATAAAGTTGTTAGAATCACCTAATGACTGGACCTATATTACTGCATAGATGAGGAAAGTGAATGGTCTGGGTTCTCAAAGGGGGTCCCACTTGCAAAACTCAACATATGGAGGCACTGTACAGCGATCATCTAGGGCAGTCCCCTATTCAGAGGCTCAGATCTTCTGGTTTACCTTAGTGGATGTAAAATGCAGGGAATGGACCAACTCACATGACCCACCCCAATAAAGGGGTTAGGGTAATATTTACTGATAAATCTATTTGATCTATTATTAAGAGGAAGTGTGCCCCAGAGTAGTCCTGAGCAGGGGTGGACTGACAACTCATGGGGCCCCCGGATAATAGGGGATCATGGGGCCCGTGTCCTTGCCCAAACTCAAAAAAGCCTATGAAAAAGGTACCAGGGGCATCTCATGGGGCCCCCTACTGACCCCGGGCCCTCGGGCAATGCCAAAGTTTCTAAATGGTCAGTCCGCCCCTGGTCCTGAGTGACTACACACACTGACATGGTGGAATGGGAATAATTGCACAGTCCTGCCTGTTGGCTCCAACTGCACAGTGGCAGCAATTGCAGTAAAGCGGAGATTACTCCCATGTATGCTGTGTGGTTCCGGGGAAAGGGGCCCTGACATTGAGCCTCAGGCGCCCTAGTACATTAATGCCATAGCTTCATTTCATATGTTTAGAAGGAAATTCAGCAACCAATGGGAGGGACTGAACTATTTCAGAATGACTGTACTAAATTTACATGTTATTTCTTTTTAGTTATTGGTGTAAAAAAGCTGCTTTATAAATAAATACGATACTTTTTAACTAATCAGATGGACCATCTTTTTTTATAGGTGTGGTGGGAACGAGGGGAAAAGGTTGTGTCTATCCTGTGTAAGGCATTCTGCAGTGTGTGTAGTCTGATCTCCCTGCCCTTCAAGTCCCCTTAAAGCAGCAACTTCCTTAGGAGTCTATAGAAAGTTGCTGCTTCTTGGAGTCGCCACCTGCTGGCTGGGAGGGTCAATAGGAAATATTTTTGTGCAATATTCTTTACCTGACTGTAATGTTTATTGTTATGTTTTGAGTTCTATTTATAGTAAAGAGAAAACACTATAAATCATCTTTAACAAACAATATTATTAGACCTAGCTGATATATAAAGAATGGTAAATAGCCCATCCCATCTCTCCTGCAGGTGGAGACGTCATCGTGTGCTTTTGCTGGAGTCACTGAAGGTGAGTCGGGTTATAGAGTCTCTACTAAAATTCCTCTGTATATGGGGGGAGGGGGCTCTGTTATTTGTCAGTGGTGTGACCCCTATTTGTATAAAAACAAATTATTAACCACTTCCAGTCTGGACACTTTCACCCCCTTCCAGTCTGGACACTTTCACCCCTTCCCAGTCTGGACACTTTCACCCCCTTCCAGTCTGGACACTTTCACCCCCTTCCAGTCCGGACACTTTCACCCCCCCTTCCAGTCCGGACGCTTTCCCCCCCTTCCAGTCCGGACACTTTCCCCCCTTCCAGTCCGGACACTTTCCCCCCCTTCCAGTCCCGACACTTTCCCCCCCTTCCAGTCCGGACACTTTCACCCCCCCTCCAGTCTGGATACTTTCCCCCCCTTCCAGTCCGGACACTTTCACCCCCTTCCAGTCCGGACACTTTCATCCCCTTCCAGTCCGGACACTTTCCCACCCTTCCAGTCTGGACACTTTCACCCCCTTCCAGTCCGGACACTTTCACCCCCCCCATTCCAGTCCGGACACTTTCACCCCCCCCTTCCAGTCCGGACACTTTCCCCCCCTTCCAGTCCGGACACTTTCCCCCCTTCCAGTCCGGACACTTTCACCCCCTTCCAGTCCGGACACTTTCACCACCTTCCTGTCCGGACACTTTCCCCCCCTTCCAGTCCGGACACTTTCACCCCCCCTTCCAGTCCGGACACTTTCCCCCCTTCCAGTCCCGACACTTTCCCCCCCTTCCAGTCCCGACACTTTCCCCCCCTTCCAGTCCGGACACTTTCACCCCCTTCCAGTCCGGACACTTTCCCCCCCTTCCAGTCCGGACACTTTCACCCCCTTCCAGTCCGGACACTTTCATCCCCTTCCAGTCCGGACACTTTCCCCCCCTTCCAGTCCGGACACTTTCTCCCCCTTCCAGTCCGGACACTTTCACCCCCTTCCAGTCCGGACACTTTCATCCCCTTCCAGTCCGGACACTTTCCCACCCTTCCAGTCTGGACACTTTCACCCCCTTCCAGTCCGGACACTTTCACCCCCTTCCAGTCCGGACACTTTCATCCCCTTCCAGTCCGGACACTTTCCCCCCTTCCAGTCCGGACACTTTCACCCCCTTCCAGTCCGGACACTTTCACCACCTTCCTGTCCGGACACTTTCCCCCCCTTCCAGTCCAGACACTTTTACCCCCCTTCCAGTCCGGACACTTTCCCCCCCCCCCCCCCCCCCCCCTCCAGTCCAGACACTTTTACCCCCCTTCCAGTCCAGGCCAATTTTCAGCTTTCAGTGCTGTCACACTTTGAATGACAATTGCGCGGTCATGCAACACTGTACCCATATGAATTTTTTAGCATTTTTTTTAGACAGAAAAAAACTTTATTTTGGTGGTATTTATTCACCACTGGGATTTTAAATTTTTTTTTTTTGCTATATAAATGAAAAAGTCCAAAAATTTTGAAAAAAAGTGTTTTTCTTATAAAATTTTGCAAATAAATAATCTTTGTTCATAAATCTTGGCCAAAATTTATTCAGTTATCTTTTTAGTAAAACAAAATAAACCAAATTAGTTTATAACCAAAAATTATCATTTTTAAAAAAAGTTTACATTTTTATTTTTTTATATTATTATGGGTTTTTTTTTTTACCATACTGTCACCCTAGCAGTACAGTGTCACCATGGTGGCACTGTACTACTTGTGGGGGGTGATGAAGATTTGTTTTTTACACTGATTGCTTTTACACCCATAAAGGCTGTACAATCATTTCTTGTTCTCTCTGGCTGCATTCCTGCAGCCATTGAGAAATACTGTGAGAGCTGTGATTGGTCACAGCTTGTCACATGGTACAAGGCTGTTGTGAATGGCCCTGTACCATGTGACCTCTGTGATCATTCACAGATTTCACTAGTAGTAAGCAATGATGTCAGAAGTGACATCTTGCTTACTACTCTTCATGTGATCACTGATTGGCCAATCAGTGATCACATGATCGGGACCTCATACAGCGGTCCCATTCAGCGATTGGTGTGCCGTTCACCAGATCGTGGTATCGCGTGCTTCCAGGGTGCGTGCACAGTCCAAAACGGCGGGCGCCGTTTATGAGCGGCAACCCGCCCCTGCACTGCCACTGTCCAGGCGTTTATATACAACGGCCAGATGTGAAGTGGTTAAACCTGATGAAGGGTCGGAGCCCTGATTCCTGTTTGGATTAAGTAAAAGGTTACGTGACACTAAGATCCAGCATTTTCAGATGGAAAGGTCAGTATTGGCAGCCGCCATATTTCCAGTACAAGTTTCCTTGATTCTGATTGTCTTGATATATGAACAGTTCTGCTACAAAGTGCGTTTATCTTATTATGATAGAAAAAGTATTAGCCTAACAAAACCATGTAAGTGACATTGCTGTCAAGCCCCGCCCCTGAGGAGTGTAATCTTTACACATTGGGAGGATATAACCTGCAGAGAGAAGTGAATTAGGTACAACGTAGATCACCATCTGTGTTCAGTCCACGGGGTCCAATACTGACAGTCCTCATGTATCCGGCGATAATTCAATGTCCTGTCTATTCCACAGGTGTGACCGGCGGCTGCTTATTCCGTAAGTACAAAGCACTTCTGCACTTTTGACACCAAAAATACTTCACTGATAGGAGCCAGATCTCCTATGTTCTGTGATGATTTGTGAAAGGGTAAAAATTATAAATATTACTTATATTTCTCCTATATCCCAAAATTATTATTATTTTATGTTATATAGAGCCAACAGTTTACGCAGCGCTTTACAACAAGACGGTACAATTACAATACAAATGAATACAGGAGGGTTCAGAGGGACCTGCTCATTAGAGCTGACAATCTACGACTGATTGATACAAAAGGTAGTAACTATGGGGGATGGGCTGAAGGAGAAAAATACATGTACAGTTGTTAGGTGGGCAGAATAGGCCTCTCGGAAGCAGGGGCGGACTGACCATTTGGAAACTCGGGCACTGCCCGAGGGCCCGGGGTCAGTAGGGGGCCCCATGAGATGCTCTTGGTACCTTTTTCATAGGATTTTTTGAGTTTGGGCAAGGACACAGGGGCCCCATGATCCCCTATTGCCCGGGGGCCCCATGAGTTGTCAGTCCACCCCTGCTCGGAAGAGATGAGTTTTCAGGGATCGCCTAAAAATGGACATAGTAGAAGATAGTCGGACATATTGGAGAAAGAAGTTCCAGAGGAGGGGAGAGGCTCTGGATAAGTCCTGGAGGTGAGCATAGGAGGAGGTGGCAAGGGAGCTAGAGAACAGGAGGTCTTGGAAAGAACAAAGAGAACGATTTGGTCGGTATTTTGAGACAAGGTTAGGGGTGTAGCTGGGGGCTGAGTTTTGGATGGCTTTAGAAGTTGCTGTAAGTGTCTTGAATTTTTTTTGTTCGGTGAGCAGATGTCAGTGGAGGGATTAGCAGAGAGGGGTGGCAGACACTGAACGGTTGGTAAGGTGGATGAGTTTGGCAGCAACATTCATGATGGACTGGAGGGAGGTAGCCTATACAAAGGTAAGCCAGTGAGGAGGGAGTTGCAGTAGTCAAGGCGGGAGATTAGCAGGGAGTCAGTTAGAAGCTTTGTGGTGTCATAGGTTAGGAAGGGGTGTCTCTTGGAGATAATACCCAATCAAAATTACTATATTTGGTCTTTGATGTCAGGCAGGTCCCCCGATTCTGTGTTGACATTCCAGAACCTCCACTCTAGTCAATAACTGCAATGTACCAAAAAAGTTAGTCCTGGATTATGCATAGCTCAACAGAGGGACTGTAAGGCAAAGGGGGGATTAAGACCTAGGAAGGGGTTAAAAAGTGTGTTGGATCAGGCTTACTTTTAGAAGGTGGTAGCTTGGGTAGTAAGGAATCAAATACAGCTAAATTTTGTGCTGGCCATTCCAGTGGGAAATGCAGAGCTAGAAAGTCTTGCCCACCCACCATATAATTTTATTAGGGTCTTTAGGGAGGTCATTTGTCATGGGAGCCAAATGGGTAGGGGGTCACTGGCATTGGGAAATCAGTAGAAGGTTTTGATAAAAGAGGGAACATCTAATGGTATGGAGTCCGGTGGTGGATGTTGGAACTTCCTAGTGTATTTTATGGTGTTTTCAATATGACGTTGATGGGTTCAACTGAGGAAAGATTGTTCCTTTTATAATACAGTGATAAAAAAATGAAAGGGACACTTTGAAAACATGTTAGATCTCGATGGAGAAAAATATCATGCTGGATATCTTTACTGATCTGGAAATGTTAAATTCAAAAACACCCCAAAAATCAAAGTGAAGAAATGATGCAGCAGGCGAGTCCATTTTGCTGAAATGTCATTGCACCAACTCAGAATGGCCCTCAGTAGTCTGTGTGGCCCCCACGTGCTTAAAGACTGACAACATCGGGGGAGGCTCCTAATGAGACAACAGATGGAGTTCTGGGGTATTTCCTCCCAGATCTGGACCAGGGCATCACTGAGCTCCTGGACAGTCTGAGGAACAACCTAGCGGTGTCGGATGGACCAAAACATGACATACCAGAGGTGTTCTATTGAATTTAGGTCAGGCAAGTGTGAGAGCCATTCAATGGTATCAATTCCTTCATCCTCCAGGAACTGCCTGCATACTCTCACCACATGAGGCCGGGCATTTTCACGCACCAAGACCCACTGTCTGACAATGGGTCCACGGATTTCATCCCAATACCTAATGGCAGTCAGGGTGCCATTGTCTAGCCTTTAGAGGTCTGTTTGTTCCCTCCACGGATATGCCTCCCCAGACCATCACTGACCCACCACCAAAAAAACAGTCATGCTGGACCATGTTACAGGCAGCAGAACGTTCTCCACGGCTTCTCCAGACCTTTTCACGTCTGTCACATGTGCTCAGGGTGAACCTGCTCTCATCTGTGAAAAGCACAGGGTGCCAGTGGTGGACCTGCCAATTCTGGGGTTCAATGGCCAATGCCAATCCAGCTCTATGGTGCCGGGCAGTGAGCACAGGGTCCACTACAGGACATCAGGCCCTCAGGCTACCCTCATGACCTCTAATTGTTCGGTCAGAGAAATTCACACCAGTGGCCTGCTGAAGGTCATTTTGTAGGGCTCTGGCAGCACTCATCCTGTTCCTCCTTGCACAAAGGAGCAGATAATGGTCCTGCTGATTGGATAAGGACCTTCTATGGCCCTTTCTAGCTCTCTTAGAGTAACTGCCTGTCTCCTGGAATCTCCTCCATGCTCTTCAGATTGTGCTGGGAGACAGCAAACCTTCTGGCAATGGCACGTATTAATGTGCCGTCCTGGAAGAGTTGGACTGTCTGTGCAACCTCTGTAGGGTCCAGGTATGGCCTCATGCTACTCTAGCCAAATGCAAAACTAGTGTAAACCAGTTAGGATAAAAAATGTCAGTGGCCTCCACCTGTAAAACCATTCCTGTTTTGGGGGTCATCTCATTATTGCCCATCTAGTACACCTGTTGTTAATTTAATTAACACCAAAGCAGCTGAAACTGATGAACAACCCCCTCTGAGACTTAACTAACCAGATCAATATCCCAGGAGTTTTACTGACTTGATGCTAGACTCTGATTAAACGTGTTCCTTCAATGTTTTTGAGCAGTGTACATACAGTGGGGATCGAAAGTTTGGGCACCCCAGCTAAAAATTTGTATTAATGTGCATAAAGAAGCCAAGGAAAGATGGAAAAATCTCCAAAAGGCATCAAATTACAGATTAGACATTCTTATAATATGTCAACAAAAGTTAGATTTTATTTCCATCATTTACACTTTCAAAATAACAGAAAACAAAAAAATGGTGTCTGCAAAAGTTTGGGCACCCTGCAGAGTTTATAGCATGCACTGCCCCCTTTACCAAGCTGAGACCTGCCAGTGTCATGGATTATTCTCAATCATCGTCTGGGAAGACCAGGTGATGTCAATCTCAAAGGTTTTAAATGCCCAGACTCATCTGACCTTGCCCCAACAATCAGCACCATGGGTTCTTCTAAGCAGTTGTCTAGAAAACTGAAACTGAAAATAGTTGACGCTCACAAAGCTGGAGAAGGCTATAAGAAGATAGCAAAGCGTTTTTTTTCAGATGTCAATATCCTCTGTTCGGAATGTAATTAAGAAATGGCAGTCATCAGGAACAGTGGAAGTTAAAGCAAGATCTGGAAGACCAAGAAAAATATCAGACAGAACAGCTCACAGGATTGTGAGAAAAACAATTCAAAACCCACGTTTGACTGCAGGATCCCTCCAGAAAGATCTGGCAGACACTGGAGTTGTGGTACACTATTCCACTATAAAGAGATACTTGTACAAATATGGTCTTCATGGAAGAGTCATCAGAAGAAAACCTCTTCTACGTCCCCCCCACAAAAATCATCGTTTGAACTTTGCAAATGAAACATATAGACATATTATAAGAATGTCTAATCTGTAATTTGATGCCTTTTGGAGATTTTTCCATCTTTCCTTGGCTTCTTTATGCACATTAATACAAATTTTTAGCTGGGGTGCCCAAACTTTCGATCCCCACTGTACATAATACATTGGGATCCCCTTCCTGTTTTTGGATTATATACTGGTTAATTATTGGTATGGTTTATTAAAATGATTGCTTTGACCAAATAAACCCGTCACACAGTCTGTGTTTTTATTGGTAAAATTCTGGAGAAAGAAAAGTGCCCAGTAAATAGTGAATCCATTAATCGCGTACCTAACTTCTCCCAATAGGCCACTTACAAGATGAATATTTAAAGGCATTTATTTATGTATTGTTTCTTCTTCTTTATATGTTTTTATGTCATGTTCTGTGTTGTGTCCTTTTTCCCCAGTGTGTTGTCAGGGTCATCCCTGGGAATCATCATCGGTTTTCTGGTGCTGATACTTTTGGCTCTGGTAGGTCTTACTGTGGTCCTGTCAACTCCATGGATAAAGCGGAGGATCCTCAGAGTACGTATCTGACATTGTCCAGTAT